TAATCCACACTTTGCCACATAGTTAAAAACAATCAAGCTTAAAACAATACAAAACAATAACCAAGAAAACTCCTGGAGGAAATCTGTAAAGTCCAGGACACAAAAGCTCACCTTTTAAAGATTTACATATTACTTCAAACTGAGAGATGTTCTGTTAGAAGTTTTCATCATCTCTACCACACAGTCTTTGCTAAGGAACAACTGTCTTCACCTTGCCAATATTCCTTATTCCCACTGCTAGCTAAGCTAATCCTTTTCTATGCTTATAGTTAATAAGCATTTTGATATGCTTCCTCTCCTTACCTTGTGCTGTCATATTCCTGAGCTGCCTCATTGAAAGGGTTAAACGCTGGTTTCTACTTTGTTCTTTCCTTCTCTTTTGACCTTTGCAATGTCAGAGGTCAGGGGTTAAATAAAAAAATATTTCCTTTACAACAAAACAGTGTCTGCCACTCAGGGCCAGCTTTGATAGAATTCTTCATTTTTTTGCCAGTTGGTACACCAAATATTTATTGGCCCACAAAATGTTTTACCAGCATGAAAGGGCAGAAGTAGAAATCGAAATAAATCAGTACTCTTTATGCCTGAGGTGATATAAATCACCACGGTCCTCGAGTGAGCACAAGAGTGCCCGTTTGCAATTCTGATTTATTATGAACTATTTACTGCATTGGCCAAAGTACTGCGTAAAAGATGAGAGTGAGGGTTGGAATGCTCTCGCCTCTGCCTCTTGCCTCCTTTGTATGTCTAGACTAAAAGCCCCCAGTAAAAATGCCTTCTTTGAGACCCAGATGCTGACGGCAATTCAGCCACTTGCTTGTCCCCAAATGAAATCTCTCATTTTGCTCCAAACAGTGTTTAGGTTGTTTGAAATACAAACATCCTTAAAACAGCCCTTGAAGTCTCTGTAAAAACATTCACCTTCTTTTTTGAAAGGAGGGGTGGGGGGGGGGGAAATCCCATGATAACCAAAGCATACTTTGGTTTCTTTGCCCTGTACACACCGCCCACAGCAGATGTTACTTGCAGGTAAAAGCTCTCTTTCAAAATAGAAAGCTTTTGTTTCCAGTCTTTTGGAAATGGAAAACTTCCCAATTCTCTCACTGGGACACTGAAAAGAAGCAGGTTTATACCTGTCTTAATTGCTAGAGGGATGGTTTGCCACAGCTATACAACAAGGAGGAAGTTGGGTGGAAATGAAGGAGAACTGTTAGGATTTTAAAACCTGTGTTCCCCTTGGGTAGGGCACATGTAAGGGGGAAATGTCTGAATTATAAAGAGGGAGTCACTTGTAATCGCCATTTAGAGCCTTAAGAGGGGACATCAAGAAACAGTGAGGTATCTGATAAACCAGGAAAACCTTTTGGACGTCTGAGGTGGTGTAAGATTTAGTCTTAGGAAAATAAGAATTTGAGAAACGAAGCTCCTTCTATCAATAACAACAGTATGTCTTATGGTTCTTCTTAAAAAACAAAACAAAGCAAAACAAAACGATGATAGCAAGAAAACCTATCACCATTTCCTACTAAAGAATGTAATCCATATGGCTGAGAATTCAACTGCCTCAAATTGCTAAAAAACCAGGAAATGAGCTAATTTCTATTTGTTACCTATTTTATCACATTCAATGAAAACAAAGGCAAGTTCCCTAGTAAGCTCAGTTATCACTGGTTTTGAATGAAAAAATAAGTTGGTGTGAATTTTGCAGATTTTCTTTCTCTTTCAGATTTTTTTCCCCCTCTCTTTCAGATTTTTAAGAGACAATTAACTTTCCCATTAGAATCATGGGGATGCATGAGGTTTGCTTTGGTGATATCGAGTGGACAGTCCAAGCTACTCCCATCACCTTCCCCTGCAGCAGGGTTTCCCTTACATTTTTATTCCACTCCAGACATCGGTAGTTAATACACACAAACATTAAGGCATACTGATACTTTAGAACTAATTAGAATACAGAATTTTCCAGAATGTAAATCTCTGGAAATAAAAAAAATCTAACATCCACAAATAAGTCAGTATAATAATTACTCCTTGAAATTTATGTAATTATAAATCTCTCAAAATGCTTTTGGGAGTAAGAGAAGAGGTGTTGATACTATCCTGTGGGTCTGTTAAGCCTAGATGGCTCATCCAGCCTCCATTTTAAGAGCCCAACCCTACGAGGCACCTTTCACATCAATTAGGAGTATAAAGCTAGAGCACCCTGGGAAGGGTCTACATCATGAGGTATGACCCGAATGCATGGGGGGCTGTTGAGTGATGTGTAATGAAGGACCCCAGAAGCTGATCAATGGAACACCTTATTGATAAGATTGAAGTCAGGGCTGTTCCACATACCAAACTATCAGCAGATGCACAGTTCCGCCTTTTCCCCAGCTTCTTCTAATTCTCCCTTTCATTTTTGACTTCCTCACATGATTAATGCTGTATGACTGTTTTATCAGTAAAGAGGCCAGGATCTTGCTCTTCGGCAGCATCCTGCATTATGTAGCTGCTCCACCACTCTTTGTCAGTGTGGTGTTGCCTGATGCGACATTATCCCATTTCAGAAATGAGTAAAAAGGGAGAGAACAATTTACTCAATGATGAGGCTAGATGCAAAACCTACGTCTCCTTTAGTGCTGATGAGCTACTTTCTCCATTTTGCTTTAGTCAAATAAATTAATTGATCTGTTATTGCTTAACAATATTATGTAAGTTTCACAGGTACAGCTTCACACCTTGGTAAATATGTAAACTTCACAGCACTTACCACCAAAGCCCTAGTGCTGTTAACACCATCAAATTGACTCTATTCTCCCCTTTTCCCTATGATAACCACCATATTTTCTCTAAGTCTAAGTGAATTTTTGGGTTTTGTTAGTTTATTAACTTATGTGTAAAATATTTAAATATGCTAAAATCTTCATCACTTTAAAACAGAACCTGAGTGCAATCCCTCAAATTTCTGTGGCTGAAGAAAGGATAAGAGCCTGAGTTAATGCAGCTGTCATAGGGAATAGTCATCTGGGAGGGTATTTTGCAGGAGACGCAGAAAAGGAAGATATTGTTTTGAATGTAATGTAAAATTTACGTTATTCTCCATGAACTCCATGTAGTCCTCATGTTTATATAGTTCATCACTGTGTCTTGAGATAATACAGAAAAGGAAGGCAAATGAACTCACGTTCTTTTTTCTAGTTCTGGATCGGAATTCTCTTTTAAGGGCAAATTTGGAGCAGGGTCTCTAAGACAGTCATCTAGTAGAGCACCCCATCCGTCTGTGGCTCTTTGATATTCCTGCTTCTCGTGGGTAAAATTTGTGGTTTTACTTATATCATTTCTTGGTTCTACTACTATACAACTTAAGTCAGTTAGAGCCACCTTCTTTATCTCACCCCACGATCTGTTTTCTTCTCTGCTTTGAGTATACCATTCATTTCATCTCTAACATTTTTTCCTTTATCCTAATTTATATTTGCAGTTTGCCTTCCATAACTAAACAACAACAACAAAATCAAAACCTCTGGAAATCACCCCATTAAATAACACATGGTATCCCGCTCACTCATCTATTTCTCCAGTGTGCCCTGTGTACACTGACATTCTGTGGTCATTTGTTTAAACCTCTTCTGTGTGCTCACCAAATGTCCTCATCTCTCTCTGGCTGTACATTAGAATCACTTGGGAAGTTCATTAAAAAACCAAACCAAACCAAAACAAAAACAAAAAACAGGCCCTCTCTGGTGTCACAACGGGCTAGGATGTACCACTGTAAGCGAGCTGCAGCAGCTTCAGTGCGAGTTGGATCCTCACCCAGGAGGTGACCCACATGGTGTAGCAGACCTCTCCTGACCTGCCTCCTGCTCCCCTCAGCAGTGTACTTTGTCAATCTGCCTGTTCTACTCCTCACTCTGTTTCTGGTGATTCTTCTCACTGCCCCTGCACCTCTTGCTTGTACCCCAGCTCTGTATGCATAAATAATAAATAAATCTTAAAACAGCAACAACAAAAAACCCACTAAAACAAACAAAAACTAAAGCTTGAGTCTCCAGACCCAATAAGCAGAATCACCAATGGGTGGAGTTTGTAATCTATAGATTACTGTTTGACAAGTTGCTCTTTAGGAAAAGAAGTCTTGGTGTGTGGTACTTGTCAATTCCCACAGTGTAATGGCTCCGGTCACAATGGATTGCAAACTACCTACTTGACATTAGGAATGTAGAAGCTGGAAGAGAGGCTCGCTGCTGCCTCAGGTTGCTCAGCGCACCACAGATTCTGAGTAATCAATTCACTTAGATCTGCTCTTTAAGCCCAGAAGGGGGGATGGTAGGACTTTCTTATATCTTAAGATCAGCTCACATCTGGCAATCATGATTAATTTGCTCTTCTGTGTTCTTCACGATATACTTCCTTAATATGATTCTGGTGTTTCTAGCTATAGATTATAGTTAGGTCAGGGAACTTCAGGCATAAGGAATAACAGGAGTAAAGTAGGTTCCCATTTTGATTTTGCCAGAGACCTCAGAGACTGTGATTCAGTTATTGAAACCTGATCGGAGACTTCATACACGAGTAAAAGCAGTATAACTTAGATTTTCCAGTTTCCCAGACTTTTGGGGGGGGGATAATTTGGGGCCATCAAACATGGAACAATTCAGTGAATAGACGTATCGGACATCGTGACATATTTTGTAGAAAACAAGGCCTGTATCAAGTCAATGGAATATGGAGTGTCAGGTGGATAAGACAAAATCTGATGTTAATGAGTTGTTTTTATGTGACACTGAAGGGAAGGTTTTATTTTGAAAACCTTTTTATTTTATTTTGTGTATTTCTATGGTTTTTAATGATACAATCTCAGACTATGTATTCCTGACTCTCAAGCACATTTTCAAGAATAGTGCAATGCTGACAAAATCAAAACTAGAAAAATACAAATTAAAGGTTTAATGTGGTTGTGTTTTTCACTTTCTTTTCTATATTAATTGGGAGAAAAGGTCATAACTGCCATCTCTTACCTGAGCAGGCTTCTTCTGAACAACTTGTTGTGGCTAAGGAAGAAAAAAAAAAAAAGAAACATTAGATTTTAAAAGGAAACATACGTGATAAAAACAACTAAGTATGTATGTTTTAAATATAGACAATTGTCTCTGAAAAGTAACGTGCATAATTTAATCTTTTTTAATGAGTTCAGAAGGCCATACAATTATTGGTACAATTTAATTTCAAAGCATTTTCATATCCTCTAAAAGTAACCCCATGACAACCCCCCTTCCCTCTTGCCTGTCTAGCTCCCAGCCCCTCCCTACCCCACTGACAATCTACTTTCTGTCTCTAGGCATTTGCTCAATCTGAACACTTCACAGAATGTAATCATACACCCTGTCATCTTTGTATCTGGTTTCTTACACTTAGCCTGATGTTTTTCTAGGGTTGTCTATGTTGTAGCACACATGAGTTCTTCATTCCATTTCATTGGTAAGTAATATTCCACTGTGTGGATATACTGCATTTTGTTTATACTACATCAACCTATCTGTTGATGGATACTAGATTGTTTCCACTTTTTGGGCATCATGAGCAATGTTGCTATGAACAGTCATATACAGTCATACACATACACAAATTTTACTGTGGACCCGCGTTCATTTCTATTGGGTAAATGGTAGGAGTGGGATGTCTGTGTCCTATAGGTAACTCGATGTGCAAATTTTTGAGGAGCTGCCAGCATGTAAGAAGCAGCTGCACCATTTTACATTCCTACCAGCAATGTATGAAATTATTACTTGCTATTGTAAAATGTGATCTTGATGGATTATTTCCAGTGTTTCTTCTCACGTCTAAACATAAGCCTCACTTATTCTATCTACACATCCCTGAGACTGATGAGTGTATTGAGTCACACTGATGTGGATAGTGTCGTGCTTTCCTGGTCCAAGTGAAAGAAACAAAATGGTCACACTTCTCCCAAATACCAGAAGTGAAGGCAAGTTTTCTATATCAGGGGGAGTAGAACCCCAGCTCCTTTTCCTTCCTCTCAGAATTTCAGTGAAGATGTGATATTTCATTGCTTATTAAGTTATGTTCTATAACAATCATCAGTCTTTTTAAAAAAAGATGACCAAGATCAATAGAAACACAAAGGTAACATACTTTTTGTTCACTGAAAAAAAGTTCTTCCCTTTGACATTTAATCGCAGAGGAGGGGACATCATAAAATAAAAGCCCAGGTTTTAACATGATGTTTTTCTCCAGGGTCAGTCACAACAAGGTTGATTAGGACTTCGTGCCTCTTAGGATTCAAAAGTGTGTGCAAAGAGAGTATTCATTTCAAAAGAGTCATTTGTAAGAACAGACCAATTTTCTTCCTTCTCTTTCTTCCTGCCGATTACACCTGTACACATGTTTACTCCCAAACCGTTTCAAATCCCCACACATTCTCACAGGCGGGCTGGTTCCTACGGCTGAGAAGTCCCCCTCCTTTTTTGGCCCAGGATTGCACATTCACGTGACTCCAGCACACTGCAGGGCTCAATGAAATCCTCTGAAAGGGCTGCCAGCTCACCCAATTTTCCATGAATTAGGTCCTGACACTTCAATGAGGGGAAAGACAATGTCTGAAACTCTGCCAGCCCTGGCTCCCAGCCTAGTCCGTGTCACAGAACTTCTACCAGCTGCCCTTCCACACAGCACTTCATACTTTTCAGACCACCAAACAAACAGACCCTTGAATACTTTCAATGCTGGTTGGATTATGGCTGGCCCAGTGCTTTTCCCCGCCTCTGGCACCCAATGGCTCCAGACTGTGCTGAGAGAGTTTTTGTTGTTGTTATTTTGTTTTGTTTTTATTTTTATGAATGGCTCTGGTAGAAAATGCAGACAAAGCGTAATACTACCGCCATTCATAAAAAGGAAAAGGAAACAAACTGCTGTCTGGAAATCTTTCAGGACACTAAACAAACTGCCAGACGCTTATCTTCCTTAAGGCGTTGTCTCCTAGCTCAGAATGGTGTTGAGACCTTGAAACCCGTTGTCCCCCAAAAACATGGTTGCAGTATATTTTGATAAGTAGAATGGAATCTTATCAATGATGCATAGTAATCTTTTTTTAAAGATTTATTTACTTATGCATACAGAACTGGGGTACGAGCCAGAGATGCAGGGGCAGTGAGAGGATTCACCAGAGACAGAGTGGGGAGCAGAACAGGCAGATG